CTCTCTCTTAAAAAAAAAAAAAAAAAAAAAGCACATTTCAGAGCATATGTTCTGACTTCCAAATGCAGATGGCAGCTTGGGTGAGGCCAGCTGCTGCTGAGAGGCCACACCCCCCACCTACATTTGGGTATGCAGATAAGGGCCAAGCACCCAGAGGGAGCCAGGATGCCTATATCATCTTGGGCCAAGGGAAGGTTGAAGCCATTATGAAGGCTCTCAAAAAGGGGGTGGGAATGAAACTTGAAACCCTTTAGGGGGTTTTGCCTGACTTGGGTTGATTCTCTCAGCCATCACAGAGGGAGGCTGAAGTGAGCAGAGCCTGACTGGTGCACGTAAAGGCTAAAGGAGGCAGGTTCTCACTCTATCTTTCCCCCACTGGAAGCTCTCATGTGAGCAGGGACCTGGAATTCCTTCTGTATCTATTTCCTTTTCACCTGCTGCCTGGACCCAAATCCATTGCTATATATTTTAGGTTTACCTATGGGAGCAAAGATTGCTGCATAACAACACCAAAATTCAGAGTTACACAACTGAACATTTATTGTACAAATAACTGGGATTAGCTAGGATGGCCATGCTTGGCAATACAACTAACTGTGCTTCAGGCCAGCTGGCGTGGCTCCTTAACTATCCGTAAGATTCTTGTCTGTTCATGCTGAGACGTGGGTCGAAGGCCAGAAGTTACCCAGAAGTGATTTTAAGCAAGCACATTTTCAAGTTCCTGCTAGTGTCATATCTGTTAACGACCTATTTGCCAAAGTAAGTCACATACCCGAACCAGAGGTCAGTGAGGGAGTGAGGAAGTATATACTTCACCTCTCTGGCAAACTAAGAAGCTAAGTGATGAAGGCATAGACAGCTGTAGGGAATGGAGGATGATTAGGACCTGTGAAAGGTCTCAGCTTATGGGAGCTCTTCTTAAAGCCAAACCCTCCAAGGATATTAAAAGTAAACACAATCAACAAAAACATTAAGTATAAACACCACAGCTTGGGTTGTGCCACGTTGATAAAGCACAGCAATGTGTGCTTTATAACCTGGAGACCAGGGTGGCCAAGGGCACAGGGCTCTGAAGGCAAACACACTTGGACCAAATCTGAGCTCAACCCCTTCCTATCTTAGTGAATCTGAGCAAGTTACCTATCCTCTCTGAACCTCAGTTTTCTTATTTGTAAAAGCACATTTATCATAGGGTATTGTAAAAACATGTGTCTGCCATATAATGAGTGCTTACTAAATGTTAATTATTCATATTATTATTGTTATGTATTTTTTAATATCTAATATAATTAGCAGGAATCAAGAGGCAGAAATGATACAAAATAAATTTGGTTGCTTCAAGCGTAGAATATACCATTTAAACCACTTAAGGAAATCAATCTTTGTAGCCAGTTACTGCTAAAAGGAGAAGTAGGAAGGAAAAGGACTGACCCCCTACCATGGCCCCCTTGTGGTGCTTCATGACTTGTACATATCCTCTTGTTTATCATCATTAGAGTTAAGAGCTTTCAGCTTTCTTATGATCAGACCCAAACAACATGGAAGCTTGTACCTAGAGACAGGACAATGTAGCTTCCGTATGCCCTCTGTTTGGAAGCTTTATGACCTTGCCTCTACTGTTAAAGTGCTGTGTGTACAACTCCTATGCAGTACAGAGAAGGTGGCCCATGATGTGAGCTGTCCATACCTCAACTCATCCCTCTCTGCACTATTCATCTCCTGCCCTTCTCCTAGTAATGCCTCAGGAATGCCTGGGCAACATCCATCCATCTTCATTAGGCTCCAGGGCCAACTGAGTTAGTTGCTATTTTAGGGACTGCTTCCTCACAAGGTCTCTTACAACCAAGGACTAACTTTGGTATGAAGAGAATCACAGTCACTTGTAAATTGCTGGTGGCATAGCCTTCATTCCCTAGTAGATGGAACCCTCAATAACAGGCTTTTGCCCTAGTCTCCCTGATCTTGTTCGCTTCTGGGGAATTCTGTGTCCCAAGATTTTGCTCCCTTGGTTCTGATGCTGGATTAGTCCTATGGGGATGCTTGAAAGTCACAGTCACCTGGTGCCTAAGCAGTGGGACTGAGTTGGTTGGAGATTTGGTCAGCCGTTCCCATGACCAGTGCTCACTTCTTCTTCCCACAGCCATCTTGAGTGAGCTCTTACAGAGAGAGAATCGTGTTCTACACTTCTGGACCTTGAAGAAACGTCGGTTAGACCAGTGCCAGCAATATGTGGTATTTGAGCGCAGTGCTAAGCAGGTATGTCCAGAGCTTTCCCTGGTTTTGTCTCAGTTGTGAGGAGTATAGAGGCCCCAAAAACCAAAACTTGGGACAGTCCAGAAAAGGGCACAGCCACAGGCAGAGTGAAGACAGGAGGTGGGAGTGAAGAGATGAAAGAGAACAGGTTGCATTTGTCAGTCATTCAAATTTAAACAAGCACTCTGTTCTGGGTTTGGCTCCAGCAGATGTGAAGGAACTCACCATGCTCCTTGCTCATGGATGACACTGGGCCTGGCTAGGAGAGTTCCCAATCTAATGCTTTAATGGTGGGATATTCCACATGAGGGGAGAACTTATTTATTAAAATAAATAAATAAATAAAATAAAAATAAAAATAAAAACACCTTTAGAGCTACATACCTATCACGTCAACAGTCCTTGGGTCCAGCATGTTGGCTCAAACCAAGAACCTTCCTTGCAGTATAGCATGTTTTCCTTCCAATAGCTGCCTTCTGAGGGACTGGGTGGGTTGTTTCCCCCCACAGGCACTGGACTGGATCCAAGAAACGGGTGAATATTACCTCTCAACACATACCTCCACTGGAGAGACCACAGAGGAAACTCAGGAGCTGCTGAAAGAATATGGAGAATTCAGGGTGCCTGCCAAGGTAGGAAACATCCCAAACCCCTCCCCAAGTCCACCTAGCACCCCCCATTCTGGCCAGCTTCACATGATGGAAACAAGCCCAGCCTCTGGAAGCAAGTTTAGGAAAGCATGTTTTCGCCTTTGAAATCTGAATATCAGAAGAACTGCAGAAGTCAATTGCTGTACACTGTTTCCAAAGTCTCTTTGGTCCATATTCTGGGATCTGTTAATATTCTTTCAGACCAAATAAGGCAAAAGTGTGTATTCATGCTAAAATGTGCACACACCTGTGCGTATTTACACATATCCACATATTCTTAAGATTTGAATAGCTTAGGAAGTCTGTCTTATGGGAAGGGCCAGTGACTGTGGGTGGGTTGTAAATTAAGTTTCATTATTTCCATCAGGCCTCAAACCTGCTAATGAGTTGGGCGGGGAGAACAAGATGTGCACACGTGCTCACATCCTCATACACACTGAGGGGGTACTATAATGGAGGGAAATATGATTTTTGTCTGCTTTCACAGCTAGCATTTGATCTGACAACACTTGGGTTTAAATAAAAATCTGATCTGTCCCAGCGCCCTATTTGTAATGTCCCCGTCTCTTACCAGGGCTCCTTGCCACATAGGACCCTTTCTTGGCATCAATTCCACACTTGGCAGTTGCTCTTCCCAGGTGAGAGCTGCTCTGGGGGCGCCAAGGAAGAGAACATATTAGTGCTCTAACCTACCTAGATGCCCTCTGTCACTACCGTACATGTTCTTCCAGTTTTGTGTAACAAACTAAGACCTTAGCCTCATTCCTGAGGCTAAGTGATTATTATGATGATAATTCAAAAGTGATTATTCACTCTATAAATCCTACACTATGAACACTCAATATTAGGGTGCTGTACCTTGCATTACTGTGGTTTTTGGGGTCATTTTGCCAATCAATGAACTGTGATTTCAGATAACAGACTCATTTCAATATCAGCTAAAGCAAATAGCACAAAGGAGGTAGTAGATACACAGAACCTTGTTCAGATCCAAATGAAAATGGGAGTTAATAAAATGAGTTATGGGGTTTGGATCTAACTTCTCCTCTCCAGATGGTACCAATAATGAACCATTAACAGGCTGAGTAGTATCAGCCCCATTGATGTTCCTACCTGCAGAGGAGGGACTGCAGCAGATAACCCAGAGCTTCTTTAGGATCAGAATCTGTCTGTAACCAATGTGAAAATGTGGAGAACTATCCAGTCAATTTAGTTCATCCTTCCTTTTCCACCTACTTCATAACTTCCTCCTCTTTTCTATTTACTGTTACCACCCTAATGTGTCCCAGCTTCCTAAATGAGTTCTATACATGTGGCCTTTTCTGCCTTTTAATCTAGACTGTTCTTCATATCTTGAAAAGGTCACTGGTCACATTACCACCCAGTTCAAGAACTTTAATGGTTTTCCAGTGCTTCCACCTAAAGCCCCACAGCTTCTACAACTATGCCCCTCTACCTCCCCAGTTTTATCTTCAATTATTCTTTCACGCAAGTTTTGTGCTCCACCTGAATGGGTGTATTTCCTCACCCTTGGAGGTATACATTATATACTTGTTTGCCTTCATATATTTTTCATATCATTTCTCTACCTAGACTGTCCTCCCCTTCCTTCTAGTTTGTGCTTTGTAAAAGGAGAGCATCTTTCTGGTCCTGTGCCATCTCCTCTGTGATCCTGCCTATGTGCCAGGGTGTGACCTGGCCCTTCCTACCCTGCAGCCCTTGTCTGTAAAACCTTTAGGCTCCTGACCTGGGCTGTCTGTTCTCCAATAGCCTGTGAAATGGTATCTCCTTTGTAAGGCAGTAAGCTACTGAAGGACACTTTGTTCATGCTGTGTTCCCCCAGGTTACCTAGCTATATCTTATAACATCGAAGAGAGGCCACAAACTTGCATGAATATAAGGGAAAAAGGAAGTCTGGATCAATTTCAACACCATTTCCCAAATTGATCTTTAAAATGATTTTTCTACTTTGGCTCTATAGGTTCTATCTTCCTCCCAGCTTAAATATCTCTATTTATAAGGTATCGTTTTTCCATCTATCATGTTCCAGATCTCAGGGTTATTTGTATCAGTCTCTACAGGATAACAAATTCAGCTGATGAGCTTCTGAAAAAAAGGCAATAGCCCCCTGTCCCACCTCAGTCCAGTTTCCTTGGGGCAAACCTCTTTTCACTAGTCATCATTGGTTTTCATCTGTATAACCAATGAAATTAATTTAAAATGGAAACTGGATTGACTTTGAATCACAAGAGAGTTAATATAAACAGGGCAACAGATTATATTGAGTTATTATATCGCATTACAAAAAGAGATCAAGTAAAAGAAACACTGATTATAAAAAGGTACTTCTATATTAAACCCCACAAATATAAGAATAAAAATGAGATAGAGTTTGGGTGAGTATAAAAGGAAAATGAAATTTCATAGGATGGTGTCATACCTAGACTATCCAATTGGAAGAATAAAAAAGATATTTCCTATTGTGGGTTTCAAAATTCTAAGGGTTCACGGCACACAGTGATAGAAAAGGTTAATTATCTTGACATTTACAACTCTGTTTCTTCTAAAAGCAAAACTTGTTTTTAGATTCTCTTGTTTTTTTTATTACATCTCATTGATTTTTTAGTATACTCACAAAGTTGTACAACAATTGCTACTGTTTAGTTCCAGAACATTTTCATCATCCCAGAAAGAAAGCCCATACCAATTAACAGTCACGCCCCATTAACCCCTCTCCTCAGGCAACTACTAGTCTACTTTCAATCTCTATAGATTTGCCTGTTGTATACATATCATGTAATGGAATCACATAATCAAAATACGTGATCATTTATTTGTATCTAGCTTCTTTTCCTTAGCATATTGTTTTCAGGATTCATCCATGATTTAGCATTTATCATTCGTTTTTATGGCTTCCCTCATTTTTATGGCTGAATGATATTCCATTGTTTGAATACATCACGTTATATTTACCATTCATCAGATGAATGTTTTCCTTATTTCTAGTTTGGGGTTATTACAAATAATGTTGCCATGAACATTCATGTACAAGTTTTGCTGGGAACATAGGTTTTCAGTTCTCTTCTGTGTATACCTGGGTATGGAATGAATAGGTTCTATGGTGCCTCTATATTTAACTTTGAGAAACTGCCAAATTGTTTTCCAAGGTCGCCATTCTATTTTATACTCTCACCAGCAATGTCTGGGTTCCAATATCTCTACATGCTCACCAACACAAAGCTATTGTTTGTCTTTTTGATAGAGCCATTTTAGAGGGTGTAAAGTAGTACCCTTTTTAGTTTTGTTGCTAGTAACCAATAATGTTGAGAAAACATATTTTAGATTGGTAGTTTTATCTCTGAAATGAAAGAAGACATGAGAGAAACTGGACTTAATTCTTTTTAACACAAGAGAATAAATCAGTAATAAAAGTGACTAGAGTCTTCGCTGAACTAAATTATGTCTTCTTGGAATTCAGCAAGCAAGGACAGGGAACACTGGAGAGTTTCAGACAGATATGTTAGACTGAGAAAAGTAGAATCTAAATATTTAGTTCAGATAAAAGATGGGCATGGTTCCGTTTCTGAGAGCCTTAGAGGGCTTTAGCTCATATGTGATGGGAAATCTGGAAAGGTTTAGCTTTTCATCTGTAATGCCAGATGATCTCCTGTGGAATGAATATAAAGATCTATTTCAAGAAACCTGTTTACCTGCACAAAGAGATTATTACTAAGCCCATATCTACGAGAAATATACAAACAGTAAATATAAGGAATGCCAGTAATGAAAGGCAAATATGGAAGATTAGGATGAGATAATAGGACTAATATCAAGGAAATTAAACTTAAAGACTTGTAAAATGTGCCCAAAACAAAAGAACTTTAAAAATGTTATTCAGAGTAAGGCTCACTAATTAGAGAGAAAGATAGTGAAATATTAATTGGTCAAAGAAAATTAAAAAGGGAGGGAGAAAGGACAAATAGAAGTGATTATCTTCTCTTTTTAAACCTTGGTCTTTCTCAGCAGATAACATAGAATTCAAAGTGGAAAGGGCAGAACATACATTAGGGGACAGTTCTGGATTTCCTGGTCAGATGAATTATAGTTCCCAAAGTCTCCCTTTTGTCCACAGATCTTGTCCATAATTCTGAACCTGTTCTTTAACAACTGCTACAGTTCGACCTCCACCTCACCAGTCCACATAAAAGTTACTATCTTTGGTGGAAAGATTTGAGTTTCAAATTTGCTTGTTATGGGGGGAAGATAGTGTATGTTGTATGTAGGAAGAAAGAAGAAACTATGTGGCTGGACCTCCCAGGACCTCAGAAAAAGCTGAATCACAGCCCCATTAGAAGAACAAGAAATGTGCCATTGTCTCACCTCTGGAGATGACAACTAGGATGTCACCTCAGACCAAGACCAACTTGAGCAGCCACATTGTCTGGTCTTCTCCCCGGAGCAGAGGATCAGGGATTTCTGCAGTGTCCACCATTTGAGGATTCAGCTTCCCTTTTCCTCCCCCATCTCCCTTCTGCATTTCTACTCCTGCAACTCGCCACCCAAATCCTGTCTCTGCAATTCAAATCCCCAGAAAGATAACCTCAAATTGATCCAGCATTCGCTACTTTTTTTATTTAGACAAAACTTTCAGGCTAGGACACCTGAGAAATTACTGGCCACATACTGATTGGCAGCCTTCATGGGATAAGTTTTTGCCTCTTACCAGCTATACACAAGAATGTGGCAGGTCATGTGGTGCAACTGCAGTCACCATTGCCATCACTTCAGACTCTACTCTATGAGGTCATGGCCACAATGGTGTCTCAGTGGGCCAAAGCTGACAATTAATTCTTCCCACTGGAGACCCACAGCTCTTGCTGGTTCTAGCTCTACTCACCTCCACACCCAAGCTTTGCACCTTCATTCACCAGTTCCACCATTCAACATTTATGGTGTGCCTGCTCTTTTCTGGACACTGGAGATAGATAAACAAATATGATATAATACTCACCTTTTAGGAGTTCATGGTCTAATGAGGGAGACCTAAATAACTCTCCATGACATATACTAAAATACAGGCACCTCTATGTGGTACTATGGGGACAAGGGGAAGGGCCTTGTGTCTTTTGGGGAGGAAAGGAGATGAAAGAGGGACATTGCAATGAGTGGAAGGTGAGTAGAAGCCCTCACCACAGGGAGGGGCATGTGACATTCACCAGGTTGCAGTTTAGGGTCTTGGAGAACAGTGGAGATGGGCCACTACCTCAATAGCTGGGCCCTGGGTTAGAGCTTATCCACACTGCTTAATTCACTATTTGCTCCCTAGGCTCCTAGAGTATCTGGAATATTCTTGGCCACAAGCCACTCTCCTGATTGATGTTTTGATGCTTCAGGATGCAGTTTCCCCTGACGGAGCTGCCCTGGTAGAGCTGCAGCCACCTACTGGCTGCAAAACCCCATCTCATGAGTGAAATCACCTTACCAAGAGCAGAGAATATGTGTGTTTAGAATTTTACAAAAAAAGATTTCTTGATATAACAGCAAATGTTAAGCTCTGATTAAGTAAATAGCAAACAAAAAAAAAAAAAAAACACTCTTCATGAAAAAAATACCTAAATGCAATAATATATTATAGAAGTCCTTAGGATACCAGATTTCTTTTCTTAATCAATTCCTGTTGCAGTTACTCTTCACCTTTTATGGCTGAGGGCTGTTTCTCCTATCCTCACACCCACCTCCTCTCCTCCACTCCAAAGCACTTTCACCCTTGACTTCCAGCCCACTGTCTTGAGATAGGAGCGGCTTGGTGTATTAGAAGAGCCAGTGGAGAGCCAGCACCCCAGTCTCCCTGGCCATGTGGCAGACAGAGCACTCTGCTGGCCCTTCTAGGATTTCTTGGGAGAGTCAGTCTCCCATAGGAATTACTGTGAATGAGCCTGAAAAGGAGGGAGTAGGAGGGTTAGAAAGTGAAAACTGTGGAATAAAGTCTCTTCTGTCTTTTCTATTGCTACTCCAGTGACTTCTTGCCTCAGTTTCCCTCAAGTATCTAGATTATAGCATGATCAAAATTTTGGACCTATTTTCCTCCAACCCAAAAGACTTTTTTCTTCTAAGAATATCATTTAAACACTCCTTTCTTTCCCTTAAAATTTTCAAGTTTCCCTGAAGATTTTAGACTTTCAAAATTGAAACTTAAAAGACATGCAAATGTTTACATCTCAATAAGCCTTCTATTTCCATATCTTATCTAATTTGAACCTCACCTTCCCATGAGACCTCTGCCACCTTTCCATGCCACTCTACCTTTATTTTTCCCCAATTAAAAATCCTTGTGGTTTTTTACTTCTAATTTTGACATTCAATTACATGATGCCTTGAGTAATAGATTTAACTATTCTTTGTGAAAACCTTGTCCCCTCCAGTGATTATAGTCTGTTTGGTGGGGAATGAACATCTTTTTTTCTTCTTTAGTTTTCCCCCCAAGCCTGGCCCCACAGCTGTCTACATAAGGCTATAGACAGAGTAGACGCTGAACAAATTCTTACTAGAAATGAAATTAACCCAGTACATGTCAGAGTTTTACCTCATTAGCCCTCTAACAGATACTTTTTAACCCTTTTTCTCCCTCCCTCTCTTTAATGGAAAATAAAGACAAGATCCTTATAGTAAAGGGGATAACATTTACCCTTAGGTCTTGGGTTGGATTTCTTTGGCTCTTAGCATGTGCCAACTGACATGATATTTTACATCCTACCTCAGGCCTGTACAGGGAAAGGAGAGAACCAAGAACAAAGGAACAGAGACAAACAGGTGCTATTGCTTACTAAGGATATGAATTTTGACCAGCCTTTAAAACTAAACCTCAGGTTTTTTCCATCTGTAACTCAAAGAGATCCTTCCTCCACGTACTTTATAAGATGCTTTTAGAGTCACATGAATCTCAGATGCACTGATAACATACTCTATAGACCTGTAAAGCCCACTACCTTACATTGATGGTAATAATGGCTAGCATTTATGGCTTACTGGGTTCTTGCTATGGTTACTGTGAATGCCTGCTATACTCTAGGCCCTGTTCTAAGCAGTCTGCATTATCAGCTTATTTATTATGATTCTCATTGTGTGAGTGCAAGAACCAAAGGACACAGAGAGTTTAAGCAGCTTGCTCAACCTCTCCCAGCTAGTGAGTGACAGAGCCATCAGGCTGTGAGGAACCTATGGCTGTGGAGAGAAGGGGACTTGGGGTGAAGGACACAAGAATAATGTAATCCAGTAACAAGACCATCTTTTGGGGCAGCAAACCAAGGAGAAGGTGAAGCTTCTGATTCAGTTGGCCGATAGCTTCGTGGAAAAGGGTCACATTCATGCCACGGAGATAAGGAAATGGGTGACCACCGTAGACAAGCACTACAGAGATTTCTCCTTGAGGATGGGGAAGTACCGGTACTCCCTGGAGAAAGCCCTAGGAGTCAACACAGAGGTGGGTAGAGGGTGTTGCCTACGCGGGTGTCCCCATTCTCCCCCTCAACACCACTGTTCTCATCACCACAGAGGTAAAGAGCATTTCCAGAGAGTCCTTCTGAGCTGCTGAGCCCTGGGACACTTGTCTTGTGTGTTTTTTGAGTGAAGGGGGAAGGATCTTGCTAATCCATTCACCTCTAGCCCTTGTGGATAGTGTTCCATATAATGCAAAATTGGCTGGCCAAGAGCAGGACCTATTGCTATGCAGCAGAGTTTTTCTCTGTGTAGAGTTAACTGTTGACTTGAGGACTAACCCCTTTATTTTGGCCTCATTGGTATCATCTCTTACTCAATTATGTTAATCAGCAAATGATTAGAGCCCCTAGTATGTATAATAGCACTCTTTCAAGAATAAGGGGTAAAATTTGTACAAAGGCTGTTTGACATTTCAACTGAAAAATGGTACTATTTGCCATGAAGCAAAGGAAGACTGACTTTTAATATATTCTTTATAATAGGGGTCAGTACCCTATGAATTAAGAGATAAATACAGCCTAGCAATTTAATCCTGGGATTTCTAATTCGTAAATCTTTAAATAGGCTCATGCTCTGAAGCGGAGCAGCCTAGAGAGGAAAATGGTCAAACCACTATGAGTTGAAGTAGTTAACATCTCCCCCAGGCTCTAAACTGAATTTCTTCTAGAGGGTTCCATCATGCATAAATACCAAATGATGGTTGAAATAAGTAGGGATGGGTAATTAGAAAGTTCAGTCATTGTTCAACCACTTAGCTTTTTATTTCCAAGGGAAATTGCTTGTTTAAATAAAAAATAGTTTGATTATTTTTCTTTGACAAATGAAACATGGTTTTTTGTCTTTATGTGTTTCTATTTCACATTATTTTGCTGGTGAAGAACCAATCTTGGACTAATTTATGACTCCGTATGTATGTTTAGATTTAATCAAGAACAAAGGCTTCTGGGACATAGATACATAATGTCTATTGCTATGGATATTAATAGTAAACATTTGAACTGAACATTTTATATCTTTTTTATTTGAAAAGAAGAATTACCCCATGAAGAAGAGTGCTTGTGGGCAGGTATTTGTAGGATTCCCCATCTTTTCATCCTCTCCATGATATCTTTCTGTTTTTCTGCTTTACTACCTCCCCGACCTCGGGTGAGTGATTTTTCTAAAGCTTCTCCAAGATGACCTCTGTGATCCTTCTGCATGTAGGATAACAAGGACCTGGAGCTGGACATCATCCCAGCGAGCCTGTCAGATCGTGAGGTCAAGCTACGGGATGCCAACCATGAAGTCAATGAAGAGAAGCGGAAGTCAGCCCGGAAGAAAGAGTAAGTGCCGTAGAGCTCCCACACAGCCACGGGCTCCTTGTGACTGGGCTTGGTTTTCACCGCCACCTGTCCTTTTTGGCAGCTAGGGTGTCCTTTTCCCCAGAGAGGGGTGGACAAGCATGATGCTTCCATTGAGAATATGGGCTCCCTGGAGGCTTCTCGGTCTCTCCCAGCTGCCTGGTGTCTGAGTCCTCTCCATGGATCAGGAACTTCCTAGGGTAACCTTCCTCCTCTTGGATCATCACATTTCCCTACGCAATGTCAGAACTCAACAGTGACAAAACCAGATGTTTTTTTTTCCCTTCCCCTACAAATTTAGTTCTTTCTTTTAGTTTCCCAATTCTAGCCTCCCAGCCCTGAAACTGTGAAGGTAGTTTTGACTCATCCTTTCACTCCTTATGTTAATCCTTTCTTCAAAGTTGCTTTACATCTCTGCCCTTGTTTTTGCATCATCACAGACTCTTGTTGACTATCCTCATCACCAGAAGTCTGAATTATCTGAAAAACTTGCCATAGTCTTCCCATGGCCAGCCCCTATCCCGTTTCCCTGCACAGTGATGCCAGATGAGCCTTACGAAGTGGTGATTTGTTGTTACTAATTCCAGCGTTCTTCCAACCACCAACATCATCCAAACAGCCTTATACACATTTCTATCTACTTATCACTTCTTTCAGTAGCTATAATTATTCCCATTTTACAAATAAGAAATCATACTTAGGAAAGCCAAGCAACTTTTCCCAAACCAAACTATATAGAAGTAATCGAGACAGAATTTAAACCAGTTCTGACTCTTCACCATTCTGTATTCTGTGATTTATTTCTATTATGTCCCCTACTAGCTTCAAATTTCAAATGGTTTTATGTTGTCCCTTAGATAATGATCAAACTCCCCAAGGTACTATCATCTGGACTCACCTAAGTCAGTCTTATTTCAAAATTCTTCCCAATTCAAATGATACACTTCAGTCATATCCTTTCATTGTCTCCTTTCAGGTCCACAAATAAGTTACATATTATTGTTCATGCAGTATTCTTGGCCTAGAACCTTCGTATTTTTATTTCTTTTCCCTTTCCCATTGGTTTAGTTTTTGTTTTTTTTGTTTTTTCCCTGCATGGTTTTAAAATTCCTTTTGTGTGTGTGTGTGTGTGGTGGTGGTGGTATTGAGTATACACTCAGAGACTCTTACCCTTGAGCTACAATCCCTATTCTTTTTTTTTGTTTTGAGACAGGATCCTGCCAATTTGTTGAGAAGATTACCTAGAATTTGTGATCATCCTGCCTTAGCCTCCCAAGTTTCTAGATTGCACCCAGCAATGCTATTGATTCTTTAAAATACAGTTCATGTCCTATGTATCTATGAATTCTTTATATACAACTTCTGTTGTCATTGGCTCATTCCTTTCTGAACTTCTACACCACTTCTCTATACTGATTCATCCTATTCTTATCTAATTGATTTCTGAACATTTCTTTAACTAGATTATAAATTCCTTGATGACAAGAAATATGTTATACTGTCTTCAGTGAACAACTAGATTAAAAGAGTATTGAAGCTAAAAAAATGATCAAGAAAATCTTACAGGGTATCATTGGATACAGAAACTGAAACCTTTGAGAAAGGGTAAAAACTTATCTAAAATAAGTACCACAGTACCAGCTTCCTCACTTGAAGCTAAGGGATACAAAACTGGCAAGAAGAAAGCAAGGCACCCTTTTGGAGGTATTTAGTGCCAGGTAGCCCAGCCTATGACTTAGTCTAGGTATTCAGATTTCAGAATCTTTGCCTGGTGAGTAATAGGATTTTAAAAGGAAAGGAAGACATATCTAGATACTGGCCCAGTGAATGAATTGTGAAGGTCACATGTAAAGCTGCCAACTATGTTTATTACCAGCTCAACAACAGCCTGGAGGAGCATCAGCAAGAAGACCCAGAGGATGCTGGCATTCAGACATTTTGGAAGAATCCAAAGTTGCTGAGATTTTTATTAAGTGAACTCTGTTTTCTCAGAATATGAATGATACGGGGCCAGAATCAATTTAGAGAACTGGGACCCATTTAACATTAGCTTCTGGGTCTGTTCTCTACATATAATCAGCTCTCCATTCTTGTGAACATCTTTCTAAGATGTCCCATATCCTCTGATTCAACTAACCATGGATCAGAACTATTCAGAAAAAAATTGTGCCTGTACTGAACATGTAGACTTTTTTCTTGTCATTATTCTGTAAACAGCACAGCATAACTATTTACATAACATTTACATTGTCTTGGGTATTATGAGTAACCTAGAGATGATTTAGAGTATACAGGAGGAACTGCATAGATTACACAAATAGTATGGCATCTTATAGAAGGGACTTGGACACCTGCAGATTTTGGTATCCATGGGGGTTCTGGAAGCAGTCTCCTGAGGATACTGAAGAGGGTCTGTATTCAAAGTAGGCAAAACACATTTTACTTTTTTTAGTTGGTTGTGGGTAGCTGCTTACATAATTTCACATTAATCAAGAATTATTGATTCTTGGATGATATGAAACAATGCTGTTAATCTTAGAAACCATTTCTTGACACTCTGCTTTCTTTATGATGGGGTTACAGAGTCACACATATGCAGAGACCTCTGGAGGGATTTGTGAAGAATATTTTGACAGACTCTAGTTGGGTGATGCTGGAAAAAATAATAGTGCATCCTAAGATTAAGAAGCTCTGCCTATTTTATTGTATCAGAGTTAAATTGGACAACAGCTTCCTTGGACCTGAAAAAGCCAAAGCTGGTCTGTAAAGCCAGAGATTGTTTCATTTGGGGAGTGCATATGGGGAAGGCTGCATGACAAAGGTGATTTAAACAACAGAAATGTGTTGTGTCAGACTTCTGAAGGCTGAGACTCTGGAACCAAGGTGTGGGCAGGGTTTGTTCCTTCTGAGGGCTCTGAGGGAGGGATCTGTTCCATGCCTCTCCCCTCAGCTTATAGGTGACTGTTTTCATGTTCCACTGGTGTTCATCCTGAATCTGTATGCCTGTATCCAAATTTCCCCTTTTTATAAGAGCATCAGCCGTACTGGATTGGGGAGCCCACCTACTCTAATACTTCAGTGACTCTATTCCCAAATAAGGTCAAAATGAGAGGTACTGAGGATCAAGACTTCATGTAAATTTGGGGAGATACAGGTCAATCCATAATGTGGAAGGAAATGAGGAGATTACACTGGGCCAAACCCTCCTCCTGAGTTCTTTGTAGGACAAAAAATAACCAGAGGAGCATAAAGGATGGGTGGATAATAAAACAAAACAGGGGTGGGGGTAGTGGAGATAAATTATGCAGAGAGACAAGTAGAACTATAGGAAGCACATGGGGAGAAGAAAAGCACAGAAACTCAAGGCAGTGAAATCAAACACAACTGCTCAAAGCCGATCGGCTAAAGGTCCTTCTGATCTCCCTTCTTTCCTGGTTTCATAGCTATCTATAGGTTTAATCACTGAATATTTACAAAGCACCTCCTGTGCACCAGGCACTTTGCTTACATGATCTTCTTTAATCCTTGATGCAATCCTGTGTGATCAGCTGTTTTATAACTAAGAACCTGGGGCTTAGAAAAGCAAGTTCTAGTTCTAGTAAATGACAAAGTCACAATTTGGTTCCTGTTTGTCTAATTCCCAAACAAACTTTCTGCTCTTCCAATAGTGTAAGAATAGGAAGATAGTGATTAACTTCTGAAAAAGGGACTTTTTTGCTTGCTGTGCTAGGGATTGAATTCAGGGTATCATGTATACAAGGCAGGAGCTCTATCATTGAGCTATACCTCCACCCAAAAGGGAATTTTTTTTTATCAGTCCTTTAATTTTAATAGAAAGGGCACTACTAGAACAATGTATTACTTTAAGTAAAACTCTATCAAGATAAAGTTTCAGGAAAAGTTGCTACTTATGTGGTATTTCTTGTGAAGTTTCTAGAAGGGGACAATATTTCTTAAAATCATCATGTGATGGAACACCTGGAATTAGGGGTTCTCATTATAAACTTTGCAAAAAACTGATATAGGAAATGTAAAATATATATATATATTAATATTATGCTAAATTACATATCATATGCCAGCTAGTAAGCCTTATTTCTAATAAGGATTTGCTGAGTAAAAAATAAAATGAATATACTACACTGAAGGCCTGGATCATAAGTTTAATAATTGTCTAAGATCATTGTGTGACTTTGGGGCCTAACGAGGAAGGGAAATCCTCTCCTTAAAGATAAGTAACACAGACTTCTTTTTATGGTACCCAAAAGAGCAGTCACTTAACATTGTTAACTTAGGCTGAACAAGCTCAGTTCTGTGTACACCAGTTTTTGATGCAAATAAATCCCACTGGAAATAATATCTACATATGTAATAGGATAGTCTAGATCAGAGGTCAGCAAATTGTGGCTCATAGGTCAATTTGACTCACTGTCTATTTTATATACCCTGTAAGCTGAAAGTTATTTTACATATTTAAATGACTGAAAAGTTCAAAAGAAGAATACTGTTTGGGTATATGTGAAAATTAGATGAAATTAAAATTTTAGTGTCCATGAATAGTTTCATTGGAAAAGTTTTGTTAGAACACAGTCCACATATTTTTGTTAACATATATCTGTGGCTCCTTTCACGTTGTATAGCAGCAATAATGTCAGATATTAAATGGCCCACAAATACGTATTCTCTGGCTCTTTACAAAAAAAAAAAATTTGCTAAACCCTGATCTTTGTGATATATCGGGCATCCATGCCTAGCTTTGAACTTCTGTTGAAGTTTTCTTTCAGCCTAAGCCTGGTTTCACTTATGGTACTGGGTACTGTTTTGGTATGAATCTCTAAACCCTGCTGAACAGAATTCATTCTGGAAGCTGTAAGAGAGATGAATAAGCTGAGATTCAAGCAGTCTTTTTGGTGAGATTGCATACGAACAGTCCCTCATCTCGTGAATCGTGTGCACACATGCACGCACACACACACACAAGTGTGAGCATGTGCCTATGAACACAAAATCACAGTATTGGTGAACTAAAGGGAGAGAGACTATGGAACTGGCTGAGCACAAGTGGTGCTCCTATGGGTAAGAGTGACCCATAGGAGAGGGAAGGAGTTTTTGGATAAAGTAGAAAAATAGGACACTCAAGAATGATAAATGTGGGTTAGAGAAGTGAAGTTTGAAGGAAGGGAGGCTTTATATCTATAACTGACTGAAAGCCCATTTGTTTCCTTCTAGATTCATTATGGCTGAACTACTCCAGACAGAGAAGGCTTATGTCAGGGACTTGCACGAGTGCTTGGAGGTAAGTCTTGCAGTAATCAGTTCACACCTCTGTTAGAAAAATGACCTCCTTGCCATTGTCAAGTCCTCGAGAGTAGTTCAGTGCTCTTATTCTTCTCCCAAAGAGTAACAAAAAAAAAAAAACAGGGGAAATTTTTCTCCCAGAGCCAATAGTAATTGCATGAGAGTTTGAAGTGCTTTTCAAAAGGAGCTAAACTTAGACTAGAGCTAAACCCACACCCTCCCCCCCCAAAAAAAGTATGTAAGGCATTTCAATTCATAATAAAAAGAATGGCACATTCAATGAACTTAAATTGAGTCTGAAAATTCACACCCCAGCACACATACACACATACTCTCACTCAAATCCACACACATTTATTTAATAAGTAACAAGCAAACTTGAGTATGTGCTTGCTAAAGTTCAGGATAATGGAACATTCAGGTTTTATTTCTTTCTGTTTTACTTATGTAACACTTCACTTTTTGAACTCTACATGCATTCCCAGTCCATGTCTCCCCCCATACATTTGAGGGCCTCTTTATTTGTCTGAATTTCTTGCAGTGTACTTGCCAATGATAAAACTGTTGCTGTCTTCCAGACCTACCTGTGGGAAATGACCAGCGGCGTGGAGGAAATCCCCCCTGGGATCCTCAACAAAGAGCACATCATCTTTGGCAACATCCAGGAGATCTACGATTTTCATAACAAGTAGGTTGGTGGTGGTGCTGGGGTGTTCAGCGGAGCACTCCTGGGGCCACAAATACCAGACCACAAGCTTCCCAACAAATAGATCAAGGCCATTGACAAATCTTACTTGATACAGTCCTACCTGGTTAGTTCTCTAAGGCAGTTGCTGTCAGACTTCTTTCTCACTAACCTTTTCTTCTCAGTTGTCCAAACTTCCTAGAACAGAGTGAAGACAGGTGTCCAGTACTGCCCCTCCACAGTTATCCTCAGGGTCCTAGCAGGTAGCATTCTCGTCTGCCCAATCAGAATGGTTACCATGCTTTGAAGGAACAAAAATAGCTTATCCTTTTACACCTGTGGGAATCCTCACATTAGAACTCACCTGAGGCTAATCGTCCAACATCATGGCCTTTGGGTTTCAAATTTCACTGATGTTTTATTTCAACCTAAATATTTCCCCATCCACAATTATTCCATCATCCCTACCCCCAACCAAACAACAACAGAAATAATCAAAATACAAGTACAACACATTTCTTGACAATGTATAGGGCAAAGCATCAATCAACACTGTATGTTTTGTTGGAAAAACAAACAAACAGTGTAGAATCATGGAGACCTTAAGCCTCACAGCCCATTTTTCCAGCTCCCAGCTTGTTGTAAGAATCTTTCCCAGGGCATACTAATCATGTATGGTGTAAACAGAGGGTCAGCAGGAACATGAGTATGATTAGTTATATGACCAACCAATGGAAATAACTGTTTCCAGAATGCTAGTAGAGAAGATCTTAAAACACAGGAAGAATACAGACATGAAGTCTTCTAGCTCTCAGGAGCCTGCTGTAGAGAAGGCTGAGTCAGACTAGTTAGGGATTTACTGAGCTAAGGTGTCGATGCTGGAGAGAGAACTGCCAGCTCCAAGAGTTCCTGAGGAGGCTGTGTGTACAGGTGGAGAGCTGTGTGGGGGCAGGACTAGCAGCATCGTCCAGTGGAGATTTCTGTGGTGATGGACATGTTCCACATCTGCACTGTCCAACGTGGTAGCCACTAGATATGAGTGGCTATTATAAGGAACTGAGTAATTTTATCTAATATTAATAAATTTAATTTTAAATGCCACAAGTGGAAAGTAATTACCATACTGGATAGTCCAGTTCTGGAAAATGAAACCTCAGTATGGCTTTGTGCCAAGAATGACCAAGAGGCCAGTGAGCGTTGGGTTCTGAAGGATCCTAGGTTCTGAAAGTTCTAAATAAAGGTAAGGAGTCACTCCCCTCATGATAAATGATCCCTGCTATGTCATCAAATGGCATCAGTTTAAAGAAACATAAATATGTAGCTCCTGTGACATGCTAACCTTGTCAGATTATTAAAGCAGGAAGCTCTATATGGGGGTGGGGGGGAAACCTTTTGACTTTCCAGAATACTTGATAAAAGTTCCCAGATTTTTTGAATCATAAACTTTAACACTTCCCATTTAGCTTGTCTGGAAATCTCCAGACACAGAAGTTTTCTGTCCTCATTCCTATCATTAATGCGATCCCAATAACTTCATTCTTGATCATTGATCCCAAATTCCATCATCTGAGCCCAGCTCAGTATCACCCCATTTCCCCCAAAATATCTGAGAAGACATCAGACTGGCACACGGTAAGTCATGTTATTTTGTCTGACTGATGGTCTCTAGGATTTAATCAACAAGTCTTACTTTCCCCATGATCTTCCCAAATGGACCAGGTCTAGAAGTCTCAGGATCACAACGTGCACTTCCTGTGAGCCCTGCTTTTGCCAAATCACTTTATTGGGGATGAAAATATTCATTTCAAAATTGAACAATTATAACAAAATATTTAGCACCACTATGCCTCTTACTCTAGTTTAATGATATTACTCTATTTATCCATGGTAAACAATTTTGTAGTTTTTTTATAGCTAAAAAATCTACCTACCAGTTACAAAATACAATGCTAAGAAATCCTTTAAAAATCAAACCATATAGATATTGTATTCTGTAAAAGAAGAATCAGTAAAACTATCAACTACACAGCTACCAAGCACGTGTTACCTATTTAGAATATTATGAAGAGACATGAAGGAAATGAAAACCATACTTGGAGCAACAAAAAGAAATGTCATAAAGATTAAGTTTTTGTCTTTTCATAGAAGACCTTATCTATCAGCCATTTTCCCTCTGGACTATGTAGTTTGCAAGCCCACAACAATTTGGAAACAACAAATACTGTAGAGAATCAAGAACTTGAGCAAATAGTTCAATGGTCAGCAATAAAGTAAGATCAGCAGGAAAGACAACAAATAAATGGCAAAAAATAAAAAGCAATAAAACAAAAACAAACAAACAAAAAAAAAACCCATAGTGGTCAGGGGTTGCTGGGTATTGCTGCAAAAGCATTCTTTATCTCATAAAGTCCAACACAACCAGTCTATTACAGTGTGGCATAATAATTGATATTAGTAATAACCCTGAATCATTAGTATGTTCTGCATTTAAAGCAAGAAACTCTATAATGTATTTAGAAAGCTATCGACCAAAAGAAACTAATGTTTTAAATTATCCACAATTTAAGGGAACATCCGAGGATCTCACTCTGTATATTAATTTCCTTTGTTATCTGGGGATTCAGGATTTACTGTACTCCTAGTGTATGCTTTCTACTTAAGCCAGACAGATTTTGATTAATGGAGAACATATGACACTCTAAAATTGTTAATAAATAAAAGATAAAATGCCAATTGGCCCAACTTAAAAAATCTAAGGGTTGTCAACTCCTTTAGAGACCATGTCTTTCACTGCATAACCCAATACCTGGCATGCAGTAAATGTTAGTATTTATTGGGTGGGTGGATGGATGGATGGATGAGCTAAAAATAAATTTACATTTTGCAGATTTATGACTAATGCCATTCAAGTCATAATTCACTTTTTGCTTATGAAAGTCTCAAGACCAAGAAAAAAAGTAATACTCTAGATATTATTCTCCCCACCCCATCACTGCTAGAGCCTCCTAGACAAGCAATAGAAATTCTGGATGAAAAAGTATATAAGGAACTTTTTAATGGGAGGACCATGCAATTGTCTTAACACCTATTTATTCTTTAGGAATACAGTACTTTTCTGAAGTAGTCACTTCTTAACCGGAGAAACATCGAAGGAGTCTTTTTTAACTCCAATTGTTTGTATTGTTTCCAGAGTTGCAATTAAGTGTTATCAGAGAAACATACCCTTTCTCATTTCAGCTATGCAGCTCAGGTTATCTGCCTCTATTCCAGAGAGAATAGGTGAGAGAGGTGTGAGGGGGGACATTAGAAGATTGAGAGAGCAAGGATTGAGATTGATATCACCTGAATAACCTAATTAGCTGAGTCACTAGGAAATTAGCACCTAGACCAAGGACTATATGGTATATATGTAACATATCTCAGCTAGTTAGTATTAATCAATCTAAATCATGTCACTTGGAAAAATGGCATCCAAGTTTAGGTGTGTGAGTTATGGGTGTGTTTGAGTATGTATGATTTGTCTTAAGGACCTTTGACTTTATAGGTATTAAATGGAAAAATTGCCAAGCTTCAAAAATTCTGTAAAGAACAATTCATTATGTAGAATTTAATATCTACAGGCAGTGGCTTTGCCTCTGCCCAGAGTGGAGTGATACTTAGTTTCCCCCCCACTCCCCATTTACACTACATCTCTTTTCTTTACGACTGAACATAAAGATCATGAAATGTGCCTGCCTACACAGACTTACACCTGTTTCTATTGCATTTTGTAAGCCTTCCTGGAGCACTCAGCCAAAAAAGTGTACTCCCTAAATAGATCCCCAAAACCTAACCTATAACTTGTAATTATTTTTTTAAATCATTTCTTTTCACCTTGCCTTGATTATTGAATATGCAGTTTTGGTTGAAACAGCTTTTTACTTTAAATACTAAGAACTTTTCATTAAATCTGAGCTTCTTCCTTTTTAGTTATTTGGTGACATGGTGGTACATGAGTCTGAACAATAATATTTTAATAAAATCTCTATTGTGAGGTCTCAGAGAGTCCTCTCAATCATCAAATACATAAATCAAGTCCATTTATGGATAAGAAGACTGAGACCCAGAGAAGAGGCAGTGCCTTGCTCAGGGTGTGACACCTCCCTCCCCAGCTCATAAAGATCAAATTCTGCGGGTTTGGTCTCACTTCTGAGCTCTCTCTCCTAACTACTCCCTAGAGCCTCACGGTGGCTGCTTAAATGCAGCCAATTTGACTTGCAGCTAAACCAGCTTTTATGTGGATACTCAAATTTGAGGAATGTTTCCACCTATTTCTTCTATAACTATGTCAGTCAGGTCCCATGCACCTATAATAAACACCTGAAATAAATATGTTATCATTAAAGACTGGAAAGGAAGGTTAGGGGCCAATAATCAAGTCCAGATGCCCCTCCTGCATGCTCTCTCCCTCTGGACGTGGCAGGAAGCTGTTAGGTTTAGCTTTTGCAATTAGTCACCACACTCCCAGTCTGGTGTTCTGGGCCTGAGGCTGAGGGAGCAGGACCAGAGCTGTATGAGGCTGTGCTGGGCACTCTGGTGAAGCCAAGGTCAGCCAGGAGCATGAGTAGGGCACAGTAGGGATGAAAACCAGTTTGGAGAAGTGGGATGGGGGGAGATACTCAGGTGAGCAGCTGAACCAGGAATGTGTTTTGATCATCTTCCTAAGGTTTCCTCTTTGGGCTAGACCTTTGGTACTGGTGATGAATCACATCCAGGCTCTGTCTGACCCCTGAGTTCTAAGAACAAGGTACCGTTGATAAAGGAGGAGGTAGGGCAACCATGCAGTTGAAAGAAGTAAAGAAAATGGTCTCGGAGTAGAGAGAAAGGCCTCATAGAGGAGAGCATTTACCACTTAAATAATGGGTGGGATCTTTACAGACAGAGATGGCTTCCTTGGTGACAGGACAGTTGAACAAGAGCCCCCAGGGAGGAGAAAAGTGAAGTCTAGTAGGCAGATGAGAGGG